AGATGGACAGCGCCTGGCCCGCCAACGCCCGTGCGGCCACGTGCATAACACAGGGCAGCAACTCGCCCGCAATCCTGGGATCTTGCTGAAACACTATGAAACATTATCATCTTCAATCTGACATGGGCCCAGATATACCAAAAAAATGTAAACATGTTGATCAACAAGAACCCAGAATCTTGTACATATTAGGAATCATCAGAAGCAAGCCCTGGCCTCACCAAACGCACGAGAAATGCGAAATCACAGCTGCATACCGCTGCTGAACAAAAGACCTTCAAACACAAAACCTGCTGAATGCCAACCCGGCTGACTGGCAGTAAAAGTGGTGCTGAGGGCACCTGCCTTCAGCGATCCGTGCAGAGCTCCGGCAGCGCCCGCCTCGCTTTGCATCTCGGTCACGCTGAGCTTCTGCCCGTAGCAGTTCAGCAGGCCTCTCGCACAACGCATTTCTCCATGTCTCTCTCTCAGAGACAAGACCGAACACACAAGAACGACTGCCTTGCGCGGCCCACTCGTCGACCATCTCGCCCATGGGCGACGACGGCGTGATCGGGTAGATGAAGGCACAGTCACTGAGGGCGTAGGCCACGTGAGCTGCTGCCTGATTACCGTCGATGCACGCCACCGAGCCCTGCGCAGCTTCGATGATGTCTGTGTCCGCGCATTGGTGCACGATGGTCTTGTTCTCTTGCTGGAACATAGCCCTCTGCACCTGCAAGTAGGAAACATCTATCTTCACACCACCATCTTCCTACTATCTTCACATTTCTTAACTGGCCTCTTTTGCTTTCATGAACTGCTCATACTCGATGTCGGCCGCACCGGACGCTGCTCCCAGGGGTTCCAGGCGCTCGGGGGTCTCTTCTTGGCGCTCCTCACGAACACGCAAGATGCAAGAAGCCTGCCTCGTGTGGTGTTTGCAGTGCTTGCGCTGCTTGCACACCCGCTGCGGGTCCCGGCGCAGGAAGTCCCAGCAGAGGCCGCCATACGGCCCGAAGGGCGTCACCCTTAGCACGATGCAAGGCACTCTGGCACACTGGCACGCCTGCCGCACCACACCACCAACCCCACATCAACTGAGCACCCAGCTGGCCGCGAAGAGCCATGCTCGAGGCAGGGCGGTTCCGAAACAAGATGCTCGAGGATATTGTCCAAATGGCTTGCGGCGAAAACACCACGCTTGCACAACAGAGGGCAAAGGTCTGAAAAAGCCCAAATGGAGGCACCTATAGCACAAGTCTAAAAATCTTTCGACGGTTGAAGCACGCGTCGCAATGCGATATCGGGGAGGGGGCGCAGCTCCCTGTCAACCGGATTTCGACTTGCAAAGGCACTGAACGCCTAGACCTACGGGCAGCTTTTGGATGATTTCTGCAACGGTAGCTTCAGCACATCTCGGCGTCGGCATTTGACCTGGATGCTAGCAAATGTTGAAAGGCAAGCAAGTCAAGATTGCAAGGGCACAGGAGTAGCACAGGAGTAGCAGGGCATTTTTTTCTCCTGACTGAAGTTTGGAACGCAGCTCGTTGCTGTCGGCTACGTCTGGGACCCTCCCAGCACACCTCGGCAACAATATGCCGTGCGCCTGTCCATCCAGGAAGCCCTCAGACGAGTAGCTCCTTTGCCTGGAAGACACTGGGAAAGCCACAGATTGGCTCGGGCCTCAAAAGATCCCTTTGAATCCTAGAACTTGTGCTTGAAACAGATGCACATTCAGCAGGCCATGTATCAAGTACCGGAAGATCGAGAGCGCTGCTGAGTGACTTCGCGCCATGTTCACCTTCATCTCCTGGCACTTGCGCCCGTAACCTGCCTTGTAGAGAACGATTAAACAAGTTTCACCACGGGATGTCTTGAGCAACCCCGTGGCACAGAAGACCTAATCCATAGCCATACTTTTTTGGCAGGCTTGCTTCAAGGAACTTAAAATTTCTGCTCAGTAAGTGTAGCCTTACGGCTCAGCATCTTAAGACCAAGCTTCCACCGTGTAACCTCATGCAGCAGTTGGCTCAGGAATCTTCACAAGAGAAAGATTGCTCAAGAGTCCACCAAACTTCTCATATGCTTCTAATTCAAGCCAGCAACGGCCCTCCATCTTGAGGTTTGACAAGGTGGCTTCCGCCTCCTCCTCATTACATCGCTCACTTGCCATCAGAACCTGGCGAGATTATGAAGAAGAAAATAATGCACATCTTGTCTACCAGGACAATGATTTGTTGGCTGTTGTCAAATTTGAATAGTCATCGTGTGGCTGAGCTGCATGAGCTACACATGCTGGAAACTGGCAACTAGCTTGGACATGTCTGCCGCTTCTGGTCTAAATGGATGAACACAGCTGCGCACAAAAAAGGTGAATATACAATCACAATGCAAACTGGCGGATGAAGAAGGTAATTCAAAAAAAAGCAACCGCAAAATGTCGGAACAAAGGGAAAACCGTGAGGAGAAGAGGGAGGGAGAGAGAGCGAGAGAAGAACCAAAACACAGGTGCGGCAGTTCAGAATCAAAAAACACAAAAATCCAAACAAAAAAGATGCCTGGGACTAGGATCCATACATCATGGAAAGCGCGAAAAGTCCTTCCCCATCACTTGATAGAAAGATAAGAACTGCTGTTGTCGCTCTCTCAACAATCTGCGGCGCCGCACGTTATCAATTTTGGTTTTCTCACAATTATGAGCCCCTTTTGGGTATATATTATATTACGGCACCTCATATTTAGGGGTACCAATATGGGACCCCAATTTTGGGAACTACCCGTTTTGTGAGGCGCTTAGTGATCCGTCAGCCGCTGGAACGGCCGGAGCTGATTGCTGTTTGCTGGGATAATGGAAAAGAAAATGGAAACTGCTATGGGGTTTTTGGGGTTTAGGGTTTGGGGTTGGGATAAGGAAAAGGAAAATGGAAACTACTATAGGGTTTAGGGTTTAGGATTTAGAGTTTAGGGTTGGGATAATGGCAAAGAAAATGGAAGCTACTATAGTATATTGGGGGTTATATAGGGATAATGGAAAGGAAAATGGAAGCTACCATAAGGGGGTTACATATGCCCCAGTAATGGAGAATCAGATGGACAATTAAATGGAAAGGTTTGAGAACCTTACCTGATCTTACAAGGAATCACCTCCCCCTAATGACAAATATTCACCACGAGAGAGCTTCTTTACTGGGCAAAGAAGTACAAGCCGCAGGACCGCCAGATCATCGTGGAAACAGCTGAAGAGGGAAATCAATATAACTTCAATGTAAGCCATGTGGAAAATGCAAAAGAAACATGCGGAAACAGGTCTTTATGCGTGCTAGTGCTTTTACATGTCGGATCTTCTGTGTATTGCAGTGGTCTCTGTTGTGCTGTTTCTCACTCTCTTGCATTGTCCCAGATCGCAGCTCTCAGATGCAGTCTTGCCTCTTTCATGGCGGTGTAGATGTCCTCCGGAACTTGTCTGGCGGAGCCGCAGACGTAGAAGTGGCCATCCTGGCGCAGCATGTAGTCTGCGACCTTCTCGCCGGCCTCACACAGGGGGGAGATGGCCACAGGCTCTCGCAAACGCCCTTTCTCTGCCTTGCCTCGATGATCCGGTGCTGAACATAGATCTTGCGAGCCTCATCCGCATGTTGCTGGCAAACGAGGCCAAGCATCACGCATCACGAAACCGAGACAGGATGATTGGGGATGTGTCTCTGGCCTGCTCTCGCGAGAAAGCCGTGTGCATGCTTAGCACACCTTCCTTGACGTAGCTCTCAAACTCTTCTCTGTACAGGTACTCCTTGGATGAGCAGACAGGCAACCTCAACACGTTGCACACACTCGAAGTTCGAAGTGCTCTCATGTGACTCATGTGCTCTCCGGGTCTCCACAGCGTATCGAGCACCGAAGAAGAGCATGCAAGGGCCGACCTTCGTCCCCTGGCGATGTTGCATAATTCGCTCCTGTGCAGGCGCAGTATAAGTTATGAGTCATGAGTTATGAGCTCGGTTTCCTAGAGGCCCTAGAAACGTTGAAATGAAAGCTGATGGGCGATGACGGTAGCGTGTCCTGTGTCACCGCACGCCACGGTGCCAGGCCAGTTCCCATGCCTGCCATCAGCACCGGCCGCGTGGCCTCCGTGGGGAGTACGATGGCGCTCTGCCGGACGGCGCACATGATCTGCGCGCCGGGCTTCTGCTGCCTCATGTAGCCTGAAACACACTGAAGCAGCACGGGAGAGATTTAGAGGGAGGATGAGGGAGGATGAGGGAGGATGAGGGAGGATGAGGGAGGATGGGGGAGGCAGGGTCAAGCATTCTCGCTTCGGGCCTGTGCACTCACCCAAGCGAAGTTCCCTGGTGGTCTCCACGGTCCAGTCCACCAAAACCACACAGAGCTGGATCCTGTCCGGATGCATGAGCGGCGAGCTGGCGATGGAGTAGCTCCTGGGCTTCAGCACTGGAATCATCTGGATCAGCTGCTCGATGGGCGGCCGGGCACTTGAGAACTTCTTGAAGACGTCCGCATGATGAGCAAAGTCATGGACCAGGTCCCTGTAAAGCGCGGAGCCCTCGGCGCTGTTCTCGACGATGCTTTGCAGCTGCTTCCTCTCTCCTTCATCCTTGGTGAAATAGGACAAGGTCTCGAAGAACTTTCGGTTTGGCTTGCCGAAGATGTCCAGCACATGGGTGAAGAGCTGTCGCACGCTAAGCTCGGTGGGGCACCAGTTCCTTGCACCTTCCATAGGCAGGACGCGCAAATGCTGGCCAGCATCGAAGCCCATCATCGTGCAGAACTCCTCCACGGCAGGGACAGGATTGCGGGGCCAAATGGCCAAGCTCTCCCCGGTCTTGTAGCTCATGGAGGTGCCCTCAATCTTGAACTCGTAGTGCCTGATGTCGCGGTCATACTTGGCGTCGCCCGTGAGCACTTTGTTGCACAAGAGCTCAAGCTTCGTGGCACCGGGCGGCACGATGTCATCGTCGCTGACGGGCGGCTTGTCCACAGTGCCCGGAGACACATCCACTCGGTAGCAGGGGGCCGGAGGGTCCGAGGAGAGGGGCAGTGCCGGCGCGCCCAGCACCTTCCAAAGCTCCGGCAGCCAGGCTTCCCAGCCGGTGTAGTAGCGGTCTTCGTCGCGGTCGTCGCCCACGCCACGCTTTAGCATTCGCTGGGCACCCAGCTCCGCAAGGCGTGTGTCGAAGCCCACGGCGGCCACGCAGAATTGGCTGTAGGTGGAGTCGCCCAAGCCAAAGACACAGAACTTCACACCAGCAAGCCAGGTCATGGGGAGGTCGGGAGACTGCAGCTTCAGCCAGGTCTGCTTGCAGTTGGCCGGGTACTCGCCCAGACCGCAGGTGGACACCACCAAGATGACGATCTTCTGATTTGGCAACTCCTCGAACTCGAAGTCGTCCAGGGAGCTCACAGTGGCTTTGAGGCCACGGGCGATGAGGTCCTGCTTCAGGTTCTTGGCCTGCTCTTCGGAATTTCCGGTCTCGCTGCCGTAGAGCACCGTGATGGAGTCGCCGGAGCTCTTGGCGTCTGACAGCCCTTCCACCAGCTTGCTAAACTGGCCCTCCAAGTCTTCCTGGACAACATGCGCTGTGCGAACGTGCTGTGCGCTGTGCATGCGCGGTGTGCGAACTAAGAACATGTGTGTGAACGTAGCCCAACACGGCGTGGCAAGGTTTCCGGAGCCTTGTTCAAGACTTGCAGCAAGTGGTTCTTCTGCACCACGTTCTCTTGCAGCTTCTCGTCCAGCTCCTGCCAAGCTGTTTCTGTTTCTACCCTCCCT